TCATTTTCAAATACATCGCGCATTTTACACGTGCAATAAACATAAACGATGTACATAGTAGATGTATATACGATGTAGAGTATTACATAGTCGAAGATGTGAATGAAGAGGGTAAAAATAGGGAGAGGTGGTGTTTTAGAGGATTATATAGGGCGAGTGGAAAAATCGTCGTGCAAGAGGGATGAAAAGGAACGATTCTTAGGAGAGAAAGGATAAGGTTTAGCGTGCAAGGTCGGACGAGATTCTACGATGCATTCGTATAGATTTGGGTCTAGGTCATGGGGCGCGGGTGCGTTCGATAATAATACTCGACAAGGCGTGCTAATGGAATTTTTGTGCTGCTTTGTGTCGCTGTGGTCAAAATATTGTTTCTATACACCGTGTTCAATCAAGAAAATTGTGAAGTTTCATTGTGTTTGAAGAAAATCATAAAATTGTTTAGATATGACACTTTTTTTAGATATGTAGGAATTAATGAATATGATAGCCTAAATAATTTGTACAGGTGTTGAAAATGAGAATAAATAGTGTTGAACGAGTTCAATTTTGTTGAATTGAAGAAAATTAAATTATTTGTATTTGTATCGAAAATAAACAATTGTGAGATATGAGAGGTATCGTTGAATAAAGAAAAGTGAGGTTAAGTAAAAAGAAAATTAAAAAGAGAATTATGTACGATCACTTGTATATGTAAGATGTATTAACAATTATAATGAATATTTAAATTGCATTATTGAAAGTGAAGAAGAATTAATTGTGAGAAATTTATACATACAATTTTTCATTGATAGAAAAAATTTCAAAGAGACGAATTTCCATTTTTCGAATTCTTTTTCTTTGTTTCTTATTTATCTTTCCTTATTCCTTGTTTATATAATTCTTTTCTTTATTCTCAATTTTATTTCAAAATGGCAAATGTCGATCGATTTATATTTTCGAAAAAGCGTCTTCTGCTACGTTTAAACGGTTAAAAAAGTTTCGAACACAGTGGGTATAATCTCAATCGAATGAAATTTCGAGGAAAATGTGAAAAGCGCGATGATCGTGTATAGGCTGGAATAAAAAAGTTAGAGCTTTGTTGCGAAACAAAGGATTCACTTGAGTGAGAAAACTCTTCACGAAGAAACGTATTACACTTGGCGTATATGTCGAACACGTTTAAACACGTTTGAACACGTTTGAACAATTTTCTACAACGATATTTGCGATACTTCTACTAAGGGAATGCGCTTTATTTATAATTTAACAATATGGGTCGAGGTCTGAATGGTATTCAATTTTGTTCATTATTCACTAT